TCGGGATGTGGCCTGAACCAGGGAAGGAAAACAGTTCGACTCACGTTGTATTCGGGCTGGACTTCGGCGCTGGACGTGGTGCTGCTGCTCTGGGCCGAGTCTTTGGAGTCTTGCTCCATCAGCTCCAAACATGGCGCCTGTGGCGTCTCCCTGGCTACGACGGCGGTGGCTCTGCGAGGCCCAGCGACGTACTGATGCAGAAAAACACAAGAGATCAGATGAAAAACTACCATCAGGTTACAGCCTTTTATTTATAAATGTACGTAAAATATATTTATTTTATTTAATAAATTATTATCATACTACATTACTTATTTATAAATTATTTATATGCATATACACATATATATTATAAATGAAATAGTAATACTGTTATCCCTATTTCTGCCAGTTTAACTGTATTTATTCTAATGAAAAGGAGAAATTCAAAGTTGGAAGCTAAATAATAAAGATTAATAAAGATTAATAAAGATTAATAAAGATGAATAAAGATGAATAAAGATTAATAAAGATGAATAAAGATTAATAAAGATGAATAAAGATGAATAAAGATGAATAAAGATGAATAAAGATTAATAAAGATGAATAAAGATGAATAAAGATTAATAAAGATGAATAAAGATGAATAAAGATGAATAAAGATTAATAAAGATTAATAAAGATGAATAAAGATGAATAAAGATTAATAAAGATGAATAAAGATTAATAAAGATTAATAAAGATTAATAAAGATGAATAAAGATGAATAAAGATTAATAAAGATTAATAAAGATGAATAAAGATTAATAAAGATTAATAAAGATGAATAAAGATTAATAAAGATTAATAAAGATTAATAAAGATTAATAAAGATTAATAAAGATGAATAAAGATTAATAAAGATGAATAAAGATGAATAAAGATGAATAAAGATTAATAAAGATTAATAAAGATGAATAAAGATTAATAAAGATTAATAAAGATTAATAAAGATGAATAAAGATTAATAAAGATTAATAAAGATGAATAAAGATGAATAAAGATTAATAAAGATTAATAAAGATGAATAAAGATTAATAAAGATGAATAAAGATTAATAAAGATGAATAAAGATGAATAAAGATTAATAAAGATTAATAAAGATTAATAAAGATTAATAAAGATGAATAAAGATGAATAAAGATTAATAAAGATTAATAAAGATTAATAAAGATGAATAAAGATTAATAAAGATGAATAAAGATGAATAAAGATGAATAAAGATTAATAAAGATTAATAAAGATTAATAAAGATTAATAAAGATGAATAAAGATTAATAAAGATTAATAAAGATTAATAAAGATGAATAAAGATGAATAAAGATGAATAAAGATTAATAAAGATTAATAAAGATTAATAAAGATTAATAAAGATGAATAAAGATGAATAAAGATTAATAAAGATGAATAAAGATTAATAAAGATTAATAAAGATTAATAAAGATTAATAAAGATTAATAAAGATTAATAAAGATGAATAAAGATTAATAAAGATGAATAAAGATGAATAAAGATGAATAAAGATTAATAAAGATGAATAAAGATTAATAAATATTAATAAAGATTAATAAAGATTAATAAAGATTAATAAAGATTAATAAAGATGAATAAAGATTAATAAAGATGAATAAAGATTAATAAAGATTAATAAAGATGAATAAAGATGAATAAAGATTAATAAAGATTAATAAAGATGAATAAAGATGAATAAAGATTAATAAAGATGAATAAAGATGAATAAATATTAATAAAGATTAATAAAGATTAATAAAGATTAATAAAGATTAATAAAGATGAATAAAGATTAATAAAGATTAATAAGATTAATAAAGATTAATAAAGATGAATAAAGATTAATAAAGATTAATAAAGATGAATAAAGATGAATAAAGATTAATAAAGATTAATAAAGATTAATAAAGATTAATAAAGATTAATAAAGATGAATAAAGATTAATAAAGATTAATAAAGATTAATAAAGATGAATAAAGATTAATAAAGATTAATAAAGATTAATAAAGATTAATAAAGATTAGTAGATTAAAAACAGTCCAGAAGCTTCTGAACCCCGGTTACCAAACGGCAACAGAAAAAAGGGGGAGGAGCTGCCAGTCACTGGTTGCTACGGCCCCCACCAACTGTCAAAAGCAGCAGAGCAGAAGTTGATACATTATGTGTAGCGAGTATTTTTGGTCTAATCTCCAGTAAAATTTCATTTTTGCACTTGAAAAAATACAAAAACTAACCAACAAGTAAAATTAAAGTAAAATGCAGAACCTTGTTTAAGTCTGTGATTCTTGAACACTAAGCTGTCAAAACTAAGCTATTGGAGCTAAGCTATTGGAGCTAAGCTATTGGAGCTAAGCTATCAGAGCTAAGCTATTGGAGCTAAGCTATTGGAGCTAAGCTATTGGAGCTAAGCTATTGGAACTAAGCTATTGGAGCTAAGCTATCAGAGCTAAGCTATTGGAGCTAAGCTATGGGAGCTAAGCTATTGGAGCTAAGCTATTGGAGCTAAGCTATGGGAGCTAAGCTATTGGAGCTAAGCTATGGGAGCTAAGCTGTCAAAACTAAGCTATTGGAGCTAAGCTATTGGAGATGAATGTCCTCAGTATCAGAGGTGAGAAGTCCTGATATCACATTTTCTCTCATTTCATAATCTAATGTGGTAAACATTCATGAAATGTTTGATTGAAGCACTTCAAATTGCACGTAAACAGGTGATGAAATGAATAACATTTTCAGTAAAAATTTGATATTTATGTGATTAAAGTAAACAATCGGACATTTAGCAGTAAACATTTAATGTAATAATTAAATCAGATGAAAGAGCTTTAATTTAAATTTTATGTGTAATTAAACAGTTCAAAGTGATCAATAGAGGTAAATGTTATGAAATAGATCATCACACCTTAAGTAAATATTTGTTGTATTTAACATATTTCAGATATGAAGAATATGTAATAAAATAAATCCTGTCCTTGAATTTTATGTAACTGAACATTACAGGTAACAAATGTGATGATCATCTGAGGTAATACGTTTTATGATTTAAAAAAATATATTTTTTTTTAAATATAAAATTAGTTAAAAAATGAAGAAGGGGTCAAAATGTAATAAATATGAGTGAGTTTCATCTACTCAGTAGAACAATTTGACACTGATTTTAACTTAATGTGGCCATAATTTGGCAGCTTTTAACAAAAACATAATTTAATGTTAATATTTTAATAGAGGACAGTGTGCCTAGTGGAATACATGGATTACCACCTTTTGTATCAGTCAGTCATAAGGCTTTATTTACAGCAGTGTTTGATTGGGAACCAGAATCAGCGTCCATGAATCAGATCGACCTTGAGCTAATTGCCCCTGACTCCACAGAGCGCGGATATCCAATATCCAACCTGAAAACAACTTCACTGCGGTGCGAAACACAATGAAAACACCTGGAATAAATGTGTTGTGGTCTGTGGCCTTTAAAGATGGCGCCAAACGACGTTGGTTCCAAAGCTCTTTAATCTGCTACTGGAACTAAAATATTTTCATCAATATTAAGGAATTGCTAACATAAAACAAGCTCCTGTATCTTGCTAAAAAGGTTACTTGTAAGTTAGTTTGGCCTTATTTTAAGTGAACTAATTTATTTGTACTGAAACTGGGCCAAAACTACTTGGTACGTTGTTATGTTTTTGCAGTATAAACATGTTTTTTTTAACCCAGTTTTCCACATCGGGCCGAAACGATGTGCCGATAGCGATGCTAATATGGGATCGTCCCTGGCTTTTACCATGACGGTGCTTTGCTCCTGTTTGCGGTTCTGCCTGTGGTGCTTGGTCTGCGGGTTCGCCGCCAGGCCGGCCTGGTAGATGGTTCTTGGTCTGGGTCTCTGCCTCAAGCCCAACTGAGACGTTCCTGACGGCTTCTTCTGGAAAAACAGACAAACAAACAATCAAATAAAGCATCCTCCATCTGTTGGCACAAACAAAACGAGGCCTCCATGTGCTCGTAGCGTTACGTGGCTGTAGGAGTCCCAGTCTGGTTCCTCCTCCTCGGGCCTCTTCCTGCTCCTCTTCCTGCTTCCTCTCGTATGCTGGTTACCATCTGGCGAAGGATGTGGGAGCAGAAAGAGAGACGGGGGAGACGGAGATAGCAGCAGAAGGTCAAACAGATGGCGCAACAAGAAATACCTTCAAGACTCTTCCCTTCATCTTGGATCTAAACTGCTATATTCAACATTTTCTGTACTGAAGACTAGAAATGTCTCAATAAGAAATAAACCAATTAATCAGATAATAAATTAAAGAAACTCAGTAATTTACATTTGCATGATTTTTCTCTTTCTACCAGAAACTGGATGATAATTCAGTCTGGTATCAACTAGACCTTATTCTGAAGGATCATTTTTGTTCACAGTCTTCAGAATTAATTGGATTTATTTGGGATATTTAAAATGTCTTCCAGTTCCAGGGTTAAATGTTCATTAGATTTTAAAGTTTATACATCTTTGAGAATGAGTTCTTGCAAACTCTAACCACATATTTCTATCCACTTTTTAGTGCAAATATGTTAATATACTTGAAATAAGACAAAGACAATTGTTTCAGCGAGAACAGGAGCTTATTTTAAGTGAATAATTCCTAAATATTGAAAAAAATACTGGTTCCATCATTTTTTTCATGTTATGAGTGAAATAATCTTCCAGTAGAAATATCATTTTCTTCAGTATTTAGGTAATATTAGCATATTAGCTAAACTAATTTCAGCAGTTCTGCAGAAAATAAAACTGGAGCTCCAGTTGACGTCAACATTCCAGGTTTGGTCAGAGGGTTGAAACTTGGACACATTTGGGAGAAATGATCCAAAAATGAGTCCAAACTGGTTTTGAAATGGATAAAACTAGCAAACAGTGCACTTCTGGAATTACCTTTCCAAAGTCCAAACCTCAAAATGATCAGATCTCTGGAATGAAAATTAAAGTGGCATTTTAACCAGGAAGCTAAACAATTGAAATAATATATTCCAATAATCAAAATTGGCCAAGAGACAGTGGATCACTTAAAAATAACTGGTTTCCCTGCAAAGTGTTAACATTGGGGTTTTATGTTTATATTTTAAATTCATACGCCTAATTTTGACCAGAAAATCCACAACAAATCAAAATTTATTTGTTTTATAATTATGTCACTTTGGAGAAATAATGGTAGAAATGAAGCATAAAAGCCTCAGATTAATGGTCACAATGGGCGGATGTCATTTTAATTTTTACAGTAACTGCATGTTGAAACGTATTTAACTCTGACTTTTCCTCCGCAGAGCAGAATCGCCTGGCTTCCCTAATCCTCAGTTTAATACCTCTTGTGTTTTATTTCATTACTTTCTGCTTTTACTGCATTGCCATAAAACCAAAGTGGCTCCAGATGTCCACATTTTAAACACTTGGTGTGATTTTTACACTTCCATTCACGTTGGCATGACAGTGAAGTTGTTTTGGTGACAAACCATCAATTTTTAACACATTAATAACCCAAAACCCAGAGATAGCAGCACATCTCCTCTGTTGGTTCAGTTTATAACCGTTGATTGAGAGTTTTGAGGTAAAGCTGTGGATGTACCTTGTGGCGAAGCGGCGCCCCCGCTCTGTTTGGGGCAGAAGGGCGAGGGCGGCTCCACTGCAGTCAGCGGGCTGTTATCATTGGTCAACTCGACGCCACTGTCGTTCTCTGATAGGCCCTCGGCAATAAGGGGCGTATCTCCATTCACTGCTGCCTGGGGACGAAATAGTCTGATCAGATCATTTACAAGGTGAATGTCGCAGTGACCCCGCCCTCAGAGGGCGCTAGGGAGCGTGGCTCGGCCGACTGTCAACGTGATTTTCAAATCAACAATGGAATAAAATTACCTCAGATGATTATAAAAATTTATCAAACGCAGCTGTTAGAGACAAACCACCTATAAAAATATTTATTGAATACATTTTGTTATAGTGAAAATATATTTCTGTAATAGAAACCAAATCTGCACTGAGAACAATAAGCTGTTTTTAACTAATGACAGTCTGGTAGATTCGGTTTGATTGGAGGCCAAAATGGCAACGTTTGTTACATTTTGATGGGTGGAGTTTTACCTTCCAGCAGAACAACGACCCAAAACATGCAGATAAAAGTTAGAACAGCAGCAAAGTTTCAAAATGCTTCTTATCCAGTGAGGGAAATGGATACTTTGCAAACAAGATGCTTGCAAAACCAATGGCTTGCACTGGTTTTAGCTGTCAAGTTGTCCAACTTAACGCGCTAAATCTTAAATGTATGCATGATAAAATAAAAGAAAAGGGACGTAGAGCTTTGCTACCAATTGTCAACACTATATCAAATAAATAACAAAATTAGGTAAAAGTTTTAATTACACAAAAAATAGCGAGGGAGAGGAAGGTAGGTCAGTTATGCTAGCTTGACTATGACAATCGTAACATGTACATGTGCTGTGGAATTCTGTTTCGGTTCATAAAAAAAAAAAGGGCGACCTAAACACCAACTCTCTGACAGATCATCAGTAGAGCAGGTGTTCAAATTAATTAATCAGCCATGCTTGTGTTAGATTAGCTAAGAGCAGCTACAGCTAATCTAATCAGCTCAGCAGCCTCTTATCAGTAAACACAAAATAAACATCAAGCCTGAAAACAAGAAACTTGAACAAACTGAATGTTCTGTTCTTTGTTTTGGTCAGACAATAAATGCATTTCATCATATTACCAAGTAAGTTTAGTTAGTTTCTAGTGTAAATATCTTAGCACCCCTGAAATAAGACAAAACTAATGCAGAAGTAACTAATCAGCAAGATGTAGGAGCTTATTTTCTGTCAATACATCCCTTATATTGATAAAAAAAAATTGTTTCACTTGTAACGTGGAAAAATATACATAAGTGAATAATCTGCTAATGAAACAAGTATGTTTTAATCAATTCTTTACTTAGAACAAGTATAATAAGGTATTTGCACTAGAAACACTAAAAATACTTGGTGATATTTTGTGTTTTTGCAGTGTAGAAATATAAAAGATGTCTCTACAAGATAGATGCCACAGTTTGATAAAAAATGAAGCAAAAACGCCATAAAATCTCACCAAACGCACAGAATAATCAAGCTCAGTTTGACACGTATTTGAAATTTTCTCCTACATGTGATCCATAAAAACTGTCACAAAACAGACACCAGCTTCAGTTTTACAGTTCTGCTCGAACGTTGCGGTGCAGCGTTTTGATTCCTGACATTTTGACATTTAGATAAAATGATAACAGCTAAAAGGCACTAAAAGACGCCGACTCTGTCTGACTCAACACAAACAGTCAATGCTGAAGTTACGGCAGCTGCCTCAGAGAGCAAACTGTTTGTTTAAACTGCCTGTCTATACAGAGAAGCGTTGGGAAATAGTTGTGGAAGTAGTCATCAAAGCCGTCAATCCTCTATTCTTTTAAAGGAGGGTTACGCATTTCTGTCCGTAAAACCTGAAACTCCATAACCCCAATCCAGGCATTAGTTTTTCTGGTATGCTATAGAAAAAACTAACTTATCGTGGCTTTTAAATACTGATGGGAAACCATCAGGAACATCTTCCACAGGATTTAACTAAAGTAGCAAGCAGAAACTACAAATCAAATTAAATTGATCAGCACTTGTGGTTTTGGCAGCCAGGATTGTGGGGGTTTCTCCGTCTGATCTGGCAAATTTAAAGAGATTCATGATTAGCTATAAAAATAAACTTTATTTGGGAAACATTTATTTGAAAGGAACGGGTTGTTTAGTTTTTATTACTGTAAGATATTGTCACCATGTTGCAATGGATTATTGGGAATTGAGTAACATTTAGTACTTTAGAACATTAAATTAGAAGGTAATGCCTCTTCATTTCCATGATGAGGGCAAATGAGGATGAGGAAGACCATGAGGAAGAGAGGAAGATATGCTTGGATATGCTAACTGGAAAGGAGAGTGTTAGCTCCTGCTAACGGTGTCATCTCCTGCTAATGCTAATGGTGTTAGCTTCTGCTAATGATGTTAGCTCCTGCTAAAGGTGTCATCCTCCTAACGCTAATGGTGTTAGTTCCTGATAACGCTAATGGTGTTAGCTCCTGCTAATGCTAATGGCACTAGCTCCAGCTGAAGGTGTTGGCTTATTCTAACAGTGTCGGCACTGACACCTAGTTGTACTTTTATGTTGTTATAATTACACAAAATGTCATTTTTTCCAGATTGTTACTAACCTTAACCCACTATTGTAAACATTTTAGAAATACCATCATTGTTTTAAGCGTGTGACTTTGACACAAGGAGTCCCACCTTCTTCTTCTGTGGTATTGTTAAACTGTTTGAGCTCCTTAGATCCTCATCTTTTGTAATGTTGTTCTGTGGAAGAGATGGATGTTGTTTTCCTCTGAATGCATCCAGTTTATTTAGAAACAAAGTTAGATTTTGTTATAATCTCCATCATAATAAATAGATATTTATTTATGTGAACTTGTGATTGTAAAGTAGCAGGAATTAACGTAAAGTAGCAGGAATTAAGTAGCATAGCTGTGTTGTTTTGTTTAAGACTTGAAGCAGAAAGCAGGTAACTTGGTTGTATTCTGCTTGATGTTCTTGTCAGAATAAATAATAAAAATCTAATAATAATAATAAGAATAATAGTAACAATGACAATTGTTTATAACAACCACACATATAGCATCATAATAATTACCAATGTACACTATATAAATTCTTTATAATCTGTTAAATAACAATAAATAAAATAAGTAAAAACTAATGATAATAATAATAGTAGGATAGCAATCATAACCTACTAATAATGGTCATAAAGCATCATAAATATTCTGCAGAGATACCTGCAGCCACTTTAGCATCAGACCGCAGCCTGGGCCCCAGAGTTATACGGGGATTCTCAGTAAAAATGTACAGAGAATCTCAAAATGCTGCACAGACTTGCAGGACATGAAGTTACCAAAGCAGGTCACCCAAAGTTTACTTCAGATGTCATGTAGCCGCGGAAAAACCAAGTGCAAAAGCCGGATCCGAATGCACAGCAGAAAATGCAAATTTCTCTTCGATTTCCTATGAAAAAGCTGTTAAATTATGGATAAGTTTCTTATTAATAACATCATTATGAATAATCTCCACACCCATTCCTGACTGGTTCCAGGCCAAAGAGATCACTTAAAACCTGTCTGGCAACATGAAGCCAACCTGAAGCAAAGAGAACACATTGTGCCTCAATCTGAAGCAGAACATCTATCAGTCAGGGGAACGGTCACAAGTCGTCATCCAGAAACCGTTTGCTCACCACCATTACTCAGCCAACTCATCCAGGACGTTTCTCTGGAAGCCTCACTGACTCAGTGAAGGTCAGAGGTCACGAGCCAACAAGCACAAACTACAGCTGTGTCTGAGTTCAGGTCTGTGTCTGAGTTCAGGGTCTGTGTCTGAGTTCAGGGTCTGTCTGAGTTCAGGGTCTGTGTCTGAGTTCAGGGTCTGTGTCTGAGTTCAGGGTCTGTGTCTGAGTTCAGGGTCTGTGTCTGAGTTCAGGGTCTGTGTCTGAGTTCAGGGTCTGTGTCTGAGTTCAGGGTCTGTGTCTGAGTTCAGGGTCTGTGTCCGAGTTCAGGGTCTGTGTCTGAGTTCAGGGTCTGTGTCCTTCGGAGGCCGATTCCGTCACAGCGTGGCGACAAGGCCTTTCCCGCAATGGAAGGAGAAGAGCCGCAAATTATTTTGTTCAGTTCCACTTTAAATGACTCAACGTGATTTAGTACAATGTTTTCAGAATGTAAGTGTCTCAAATTTCTGCTCGGTTCACCAAAACGTGACCTGCTCTGACATTTCTGTGGAATCAACTCACTCTCTCGCTCTGTGGTTGCCTAGCAACGACCTGCCAGGTGACTAACACAGCAGCAGTTTTAAGTTTTGCTTCAGAACCGAAATAAAAATAAAAACCAACATGCAGAGAAAACTGGATAAAACAGTTTGGCTGTATTTCAGATATTTGAAATCTAATCAATAATTACTGATATTGACTGATTCTGCATTAAAGCGAGGGCCCCATTATCAGTTCGCACTCAGTGGTGACCAAACCAGTTATCAGGTGTTTCTTCATACAATTTGTCTGATTTTAAAACTTGTTTGATGATCTGAAACATGTAATTGTGACAAAAATAAGCAAAAATAGAAGAAACCTATTTTGAACTTCTTCACTGCCTTGGACCAACAAAACCATTAAGATCTGTAAAGATCTGATGACTTTGTGTTTTTGTGCTTATGATGTAAAGCACTTTGAAATGCCTTGCTACTGAAATGTGCTATAGAAATAAAATTTGATTGGTTGATTGATTGATTAAACTCCTGTAGCCGAGGTCAAGAGACTAAACTTTTTCTATTTTTCCACTTATTTCCAACAGTTCCCTACATATTCCTCAGAATGTGCACCTTTTCTTCCCACCGCCCACCAAGCCATTAAAGTTTTTCCACTTTGGCTGAAAGGCGTCAATCATTAAAGCAGGCGCCTGGGGGAAGGTGAGAAAAGCATTCCCACCACTGACAGATGAGCAGGTTTGCAGTTGAACAGGGGCAAGCCGCAGACGAAAACCTGAAAAGAGTTTCAGGTTTTCACCTTCGCTGTGACTCAGTATGTTCAGAGATTTCTCCAGGGTGTTTCTGTCTGTCTTCGTCTCGAACTATAAACTTCAAACGACGTTAATCTAAGACGCAGACAATCTAGCAGGAGTTAGGAGAGGAAGCAGGTGGAAAAGCTTCTCCTAAAGCTGCAGGTATTATACACTTTATTTAAAATTAACTACTGCAATACCATAATTAGTTGAAGCTAATGCTAAAGCAATAAACTGAACCATTTTGAGTTGTGGGCACCACTAGCCAAAAAACTTTAGTGGTGCTAGCCTTGAAGCTCTAATCATAATCATTAGTTCTGCTAATGCTAATGCTCTACAGCAACACACCATTTAGTAGAAGCTCTTTCTAAAGTGGTATGTTTAATCATTTTGAGGAGGGGACACTGCTAACTGAAAGGTTAGCTGCACTAACCCAATAGAGCTAATTATAAATGCTAACACTAAAACACTATGCAAACTAGGCATCAATGCCAACATGCTATGTTTAACCATTTGAAGTAAGGGGCACCGCTAACTAAAATGCTAACTCCACTAGCCTAACAGATCTAATTATAAACTGTAGTTTCGCTAACACTACAACACTATACACACAAGGTATTTAGCCAAAGCTAATGCTAAAGCGCTAAATTAAATGTTAATATTATAATGGCTCATGGTCTTTTGATCTGATTTGGTTAAAATGTTCAACGTGAAGTGGTCCTGAGACCACTCCAAAAGCAGGAAGTGGACTATAGCGCAGGGCATTCTGGGTAAATAGAAACATAGCAAATATGCTACCCTAGCATTAGCATGAGAGATGACTTGTCATCTTTTACCAAAGACATTAGAGAAATCCTGCAACTGCTAAAATCTGCTAAAATCCTACAACTGCAAAATTCTGCTCCATTTTGTTTAGATTTTGCAAAGGAAAATATGCCTTTTTCAGGGGTTTTATGTTGTTTCCTTCAGCAGGTCTCGGTGCAGTGCCTCTACAGGTGAGGAGGGGAACAGGTCGCCCAAAGAGTCCTTAATAGAACAGAATATGCAGGCCTAGATCGAAATCTACATGCAAAACTTCAACATTAAATGTCCATGTGGCATGTTTGCTTCACTTCTGTATCTCAAACAAAATGAGAAGCACCACAAGGTTTAAGAAACGCAGCCTATTCCCTGAAGAGTGCAGCATGTTTTCAGTGAAACAGCTGTCATTATCTATGAATTTCCAGAGACTGAAATGGGGCTGAAGGCGAAACTGGTAAACTCAAACTGACTCCTGGTAACAATGGAATTAAAGGAGAAATGTCTATCTTTGGCGAACATTTACATTTTCAGGAAACAGTCGTATAGCTGTGAAACTGGTCCTCGAGCCTCTGGGCGGTCATAAATCACCAATCCAGCTGTCAGGTCATGAGGAAACGTTAAGCTTCAGGAATGAAGCTAGAACGCTGGAACATGACTTGTAATGGCTCCTTAAAAGGGTCACACATATAATTACTGCTAGACAAACACATCTCTGGAGTTCAACATCTGCTTCCTTATGTTCTCAAATGAAAAAGCTACCGTTGGCTGAAAGTGAAGCATTGTCTCTAAATGTCAAATAATTTGTGTGGGTGATGTACATTTCAGGCCTGAAATTGCCTTTTTGTGCATTTTAAACTAACTTACCAGATATAATAATATCTTCCATAAATTCTAACGCAGTGGTTTACTTGAGTGTTTTGTAAACTTTCAGTGGAATAAAGTTTGGTTGATTGTTCAAATAGTTAGGAGTTTATTTCATGTTGTTATTTTGTTTAATATTAAAATATAATTTGGCTTTAGCTTCTACTAGATACCTTGTTGGCGTAGCGTTTTAGCGTTAGTGGAACTAATATGATTAGAGCTTTGTGATTAGCACAGCTAAGCTTTTAGCTAGCAGTGTCCCCTAAACAAAATGGTTAAACTTAGCACTTTAGCATTAGCAGAGCTAATGATAATGATTAGAGCTAGGGTCAGAATAGCTAACTTTTTAGCTAGCGATAGCCACAACTCAAAATGGATAAATGTACTGCTTTTGCATGTTCTTCTACTAAATATTGTGATGGGGTCGTGATTTAGCATTAGCCGGGATAATGATTACATTTAGAGCTTTAGCACAGCAGTGCAACTTAAAATAGTAAAATATAGCACTTTAACATTAACTTATACTAAATACTGAGTTGTTGTAGCGCATTAGCATTAGCTGAATAATGTTTATGATTAGAACATTAAGCTAGCAGTGCTAATCACTGGCAGCAACATTGGCTGATTTCCTACAAATGCTGGTTGATGAATGGGGGTTCCATCCCACATCAGTGTGTGACCCTGCTGGTGACTGTATGCATGGTTCTTTCTCACACTGATTGTTAAATTGTTCCATTATTTCATAATATACAGTCCAACAAACACCATAAACCAAGGAGTGAATTACAAAAAGCTATTTGTGCTTGGCGAGTTTTTCATGGGTGCAACCTGCACACTGAGCTCTGCTGCTCACGTTTCTTTACAAATGTTCTTCTGTTTAAAGAGAAAAAAACCTTTCCAGCGGCGCAAGATTTATTCCCAAATAGCACAAACACAAATCTTGCTTTTCACGCCAAGTCTCATTTTTAGCAGAATCTGCAGAAGAGAAAACGATGAACAGAAAAAGCGACAGATGGTTGAGGGAAGGAAGTCTGCTTTCAGATAGAGTGAGAGACGAGTGAAAAAGAGGAAGAAGTGGCAACGGACGAGGGGAGCCCCGTTGAGCCTTTATGACTGAAGGAGCAAATGTATGAAACAGGTTCATGACATATAATAAATCTACACAGACATTATAGCAAACATCTTTGCAACGTATAGTATTCAAATATTTTCATTTTCAATTCATTAAATCCTTTTATTCGTCTTCCTGCTCCTCCATCGCTGCGTCTACTCAGCGTTTTCTTGCTGCTGCCTTGTGCGGATGCAGCTGTTTTGTGTGCGCAGGAAGACGCCCTCACAACCAGCATGCATTCTCAATTAGAGCCGTGTGATGAGGTGGCACCGCCGTCCAGGCATCTGCCTTGGCAGCCAGACAGTCGCTGCCTTACAGCACAGCTGGGTCGCTCAGAGGTGTGCAGAGCCAACGCTGAGCTCTTCCTCTCACTTATCTGCTGAACTCTGCTGAACTCTGCTGAAAGCTGAGTGGGACGGGCGTCCAAACTGCGGCGCGGGGCCATTTGCAGCCCTCTGGAGGTTTTTTTTGGGCGGTCCAAATGAAGCAAACCTGACCTACAAGATTAGGTGGTTTTTGCATTTGGACACTTTTTCAACATGTTTTAGGACAGGAGTGTCCAAACGTTTGTCAGATGAGCCAAAATTGTTAAGTGAAAAGTTATGGGCCCAGAAAAATAATTTAAAAAACTAAAATTAAGCAAATAAAACATTTAATCACTGGGTCACAATAAGTCACAATTAATTACGATTAACCGTAATTAATTGTGATTTATTTACTTGATTTTTTTAAATCAAGATTGATCATTATTAATTAGAAATGAATCATAATTAATCACGATTAGGGATCTTGATTAATACTTCGTGATTAAATGTTTTAATCAATACCACTGGTCTATGTGTCTCTGTGTGTGTCTCAGTGTGTGTGTGTCTCAGTGTGTGTGTGTCTCAGTGTGTGTGTGTGTCTCTGTGTGTGTCTCTATGTGTCTCTGTGTGTCTCTGTGTGTGTCTGTGTGTGTCTGTGTGTGTCTCAGTGTGTGTGTGTCTCTGTGTGTGTCTCTGTGTGTCTCTGTGTGTCTCTGTGTGTGTGTGTGTCTCTGTGTGTGTCTCAGTGTGTGTGTGTCTCTGTGTGTGTGTGTGTCTCTCTGTGTGTGTGTCTCTGTGTGTGTGTGTGTCTCTGTGTGTGTCTCTGTGTGTCTCAGTGTGTGTGTGTCTGTGTGTGTGTGTGTCTCTGTGTGTGTCTCTGTGTGTCTCAGTGTGTGTGTGTCTGTGTGTGTGTCTCAGTGTGTGTGTGTCTCTCTCTGTGTGTGTCTCTGTGTGTGTCTCTGTGTGTGTATCTGTGTGTGTGTCTTACTGTAGCAGTCACGTTGCTGCTCTCCGACAGGATCGCTCCAGAGTTGTTGGAAGGCATGGCTGTTGTTGCTGACGGGTCCAGTTGGTTTCCTGACTCCTTTTCAAACCTGAGGAGAAAACGATGAAGAGGAGGATTAATCCTGTCATACACTCAGACCTCAGGGACATTTAGGACACCAATTAGCCTAGCAGTTTATGGACCCCCTGTGTTCCTCTGCTTGACTTTCTAACTGTGCAGAGTCTTCAAGAGGAGTGGCAAAAGCAAAGGAGAAGGATCAGCAGAGCTTCTGCCTCCTGATCATGTTTTTAAATTCCCATTACTGTGGAATATCGTTTCTGATACTCCGCAGTTATTATCTCTTGACTGCTATGAGACAACAATGCACCAAGATTGTTCAGTCAGAGGCCTCATCAGAACGTTGCAGAACTGACTGCTACTGTTAGCCACTAATTACTGATGAATAGTTTATTAGATTCAATTAGTTTCAGTCAGTTAACTGATACGGTTCCTTTGGCTCACAAGAGTCAAACTCCAGTCCTGGTGTCCTGCAGGATTTAGATGCACCACAGATAGAAAACCCATGTAGCGTGTAGCTAAATGCAGGTTATCTGCAACTAAATGGCAGATAATGTAAGAATAGGAGCATAAGGTAAATAGAGAAAGTGTGAGAGGAAGACTTCAGCTCTGGAGCCGACATGCCCATGCAGCCCTTCAGGTAAACAGATACAGTCTGGATGTGATCTGCAGCTCCGGCACCGCAAATGTGTCCCTACATGCTCAATAAACACAGCGCCGCTACTTCATGTAGCTGCATTCCTGTGAGCCTCCATGCTGGTGGACATGACTGATGGCTCTCAGGCGTCTGTGGCGCAGCGAATCCGAACCGGGTCGCACACGGGGTTCTGTTTCTGCGACGTCGCTGCAGGGAAGCGTGGAGGCGACCGGGTTTTAGCCGACACCCCGACTGCCCGAGTCACAGAAACCAGCCCCTTATTAGCGAGAGTGTGACGAGGATTTCTGAGGCTTAACCGCCAAAGTCATCCAGTTTACAAGGAAAAAAACTCGTTGTTCTGGGACTTCAGGCAGTATGTCAAATAAACTCAGAAACTTTTTTTTACAGTTTAAAGTAAACAATGTTCCTGTTAGCTAGCATGACGCTGAAAATGTATCAATGTATAATTGTTACGTATCAGTCGATATTGGTAATTATTTATTATTTTTTTGTTTTAAGGCTACCAAACTGGTTCTGTTTTACAATTTTCTCTGCAAGTCTTTATTTTTGAGCAGTTTGATTTAAGCTGCCGCTGTGGCAGTTACTCGGCAGGTCGTTGGTAGGCGACCGGAGAGCGAGTGAGTTGGTTGTTTCCACTCACTTTGCTCAGTGAGCTGAGAAGTTGAGCGGCTAAAGTATTTCACCTGCCTACATCACCCAGGATGCCGTGCGGTTCTGGATCGGATTTAAGTGAATATTCTAACAAAGTGACGATACTGAATAGTGAATATTCTATCAGACGTATTATCTATAGATATTGATCGCATGTTTATTTGAATCTAAGTTGTTATTGATAAATTGTGTCAAGCAGTCATCAAACAGGAATGAATACTTTTAGCACATGGTGACATATTTTGTGACGTTATTGTGCATCATTTTTCACCTTCCAAGCGATGGGTGTTTTCCACAAACGACTCGATTTGACTGGGAACCAACATGGCAACATTTGCGACATTTTCATTTTCTTTGTGTAACCTATTCTCCTCGTCGCCTGTGGGGGCGCTGCACCAAGAACCAATCAAAGAAAGACAAGAACGACTTCCTTCTTCACCAAATGCAAATAAAAAACTGAGTCGTGTCAGATTTAATGGTTGTAGGATTTTGTTTTTTGTTGTTAGCTAAAGATCTCAGCCCATTTCTCCCGCTAGCGCTAGGCTAATGCATTTATTTTGGTTATATTTACCCAGAATGCCCTGCACCTTAGTCCACTTCCTGCTTTTGGAGTGGTTTCTGCTCCGCTTGGCGTTCACATATGGATTCAAACCACACCAGATTTCGCTCCAACTGAACCGAGACCTGCACTGTAAAAACACAAAATCTTACCAATTATTTCTAGCATAAATATCTTAGTACACTTAACACAAAACTAACTTATAACTATATTTTTAACAGAATAGAGATTATTTTAAGTAAATAATTTATTAATATTGATTTTTTTTAAAAAAAGCTCTGGTTCCACTGGAAGATTATTTCACTGAGATATTTTTCCCATAAGTGAAACAATCTGCCAGTGGAACCAATCTTTCTTTTCCATTTTTTTTTATCATGATTATAGATTATAGATTTGAGTTCAGCATGAAGTAATGTTCCCACCGCATGATAGGTTTTTGGAAAAAATGTTACAGTTTTAGAGTGAAGTTATTTCCTGTGACCAAATAAACACCCAACCATGAATATGCTGTCTGCTTCACTGCAAAAACACAAAATCTTTCTCAGGATTTTTATTTGGTTTCCACTGCAAATATCTTTCCACACCTGGAGTAAGACAAACAAACTTCCAAGTCAAATGTAAGACCTTGTTTTAGGTCAGTAATTACCGAATATTGATAAAAAGTTTTTTTAATGTCTTGTTTTGTAGCTTTTAGCTTTCTTTCAACATGAACAGCTTAATCAGACGCAAGAAATTAATTTATAAAAACAGTTAAATATAAGAACCTATTATGTGTGCAGAAAGAGCCTCTTTCCCACAGCTGTTGTTGCCTTTAGCCAGACTTAGTCTGGGCTCCTTTTGCATGAATCTTTTTCTAATATATGCAACATGAATCAGTCAAGTCCTGCTGGAAAATGAAATCAGCATCTTCAGGAAGCTTATCTGCAAACAGAAACATCTCGATGCCATATTTGCTGGTAAATGGCTGAACTACGGTTGTGACGCTTCCCCAACTCCTAAAAGGTTGCACTTTACAGTTACTGTCACTAGCACACACTTCTTCCTTCCACTCAACTTTCCAACATTAACCTGGGACAAAAATTAAAGCTTAATTTTGGTTATTTAACCTGTTAAGAGAAAAATTGAGGTTCATTTTTCAAAACTATATTTTTACCATGTTATTCATTCATTTATAAATGTTACAGTTACAAACTAACTATCTAATTAGCAGGATAAGTATTTAGCTTCAATATAAATATTTAGCACAGACAAAAACATTTTGCTTTTTGCAAATTTATGTGCCAATAACTGGAAGACGACTACATTTAATTTAATTTATTTCATTTTTATTTAACCAGGTGCTATATAAATAAAATTACCTTTACCTTTAGAAATATTATTTTCTTAGGGGCTAAAACACTCACATTTTTGCTGTTAATTTTTGACTTTAACGTTATGGACGGGTCAGCATGAGGAGCCATCTTGTTTAGCTCACAGGAACAACACCGACTGTTCATAACAAGCAGATTAGCGAGGCGATGAGGCAAATTAAAACCTTATTCAGCTTCTTCATATCAGGCCAGATGTTTCAAATTACAAAGTTATAAACCAAGTTTGGTCCAGTTTTATCCACTTCCATTTTGATGTTATTCAGGTAAAAATTATGCATCCTGTCAGTCACATCAGCAGGAATTTGACACTTTCCACAAACCAGGAGAATAATTACCTCCCATTACTGAAACTTCCTAAGACCCACATTAACACCCTGATGGGACAAACTGTGAGAAAAACACAAATTCCTCACAGATAAAACCAGAAAATGTGCCTGGGCGGGTATTAATTAGCTGTTTTGTCTCTTTCTGTTCCAACTCAGTATTTCAGATCTTTATCATGACACCAAAAAGGAGACAGACTGGGAACATCCTGGAGCGCCGGGGAGTATCTGACACCAGGATGGAAATGATCCTCCGGGCCCCGTGGCCGGTTCATCACGACGCAGCAAAAACAATCCAAAAGGTTCAGGATTTACCCAAAAACAACCCGAAGGGAACAAAACCGCATTTAACGTAACAAAGTCGGATTATTTCTCACATAAAAACAAAATTTCTCTGGGAAAAGTCCAATCTTTTAACTACAACTGGTTCTGCTGTGAGATTATCTCACAATTTAATCCAGAATAATTTGATAAGCATTGGAGTTCAGCTGAGCTCGACCATCAACAGTTGGTCAACATTTACACTCATAAAGTCTCGTGTGGTTCATAACAAACATTTAAAATGTGGTATATTTTAAAAACTTCATGTTTTAAAGTCTCGGGCATTTTACCCACATAGCCAAGTTTTATAACAACAGATATCTTCACTATATTGTTGAAAAAAAAAAAATAGCGTCATACGCCCAGGAAAGATTTTAGCATGAATCCTGTACTAAACATGCCAAACCCACAGAGGGCAGTGTAGCACAAAGCTAAGACCTGTAAGCCAATCAAAATGCTTCAAAACAATCACAACTTCCTGTTAGGAATTCAACTGTTTTTCTTTTTTATTCAGAATAAAAAAGTTGAAAAGTACAAGACAATGATGATTAGAGGCCTAGTCAAAGTCAACGGGACTCTAAATCTCTGTTTTCCCCAAAATAATTATAAACAGAAAATTTGCTAGCATGTCTGCAGGTTTCCAAAGGAGATTCATTTCTTTGGGAGGCCAAGTCATGGAAAAGTTTGGGAAGCCTTGGACTAGGCCTTGGATGCTTATGCTGCGTTCAGGTTCAGCTGGCTGAAATGACAATCTCTCACACTTCGGTTACCTAGCAACAACCTGCTGAGTAACTGGCGCAGCAGCGGTTTAAGGTTTTGCCGTATAACTGCTTAGAAATAAAAACCACATAGAGAGAAAACTGGATAAAACAGAAAACGTCATTCCACCAATTTATCTGTATTTCAGATATTTAAAACAACAAACTAATCAATAACTGATATGAAAGTCTTCTATTGTGACACATTTTTCAGTTTTGAGTCAGGAGTTTCATTGTTTTCCTACAGAGCTGAAACCGAACAAACATTTCCACTGCAAGGAGAAGCTGAAACGTTGTATCCTCAGCGCATAACTTCTCTGCATCTTTAGTGACAAAGAAAGAGGTTGAAATAAAGCAGCAGAGAAAGAGCGCAGGGCAGAGCGAGGGGCCAACCGCTCAGGGTCAGGGAGGACAAGGAGGCGGCGGCGCGGGGGATCACATCAAAGCCGCGCGGTGGCCAGAGATTAGGGTCCGCTTTGCTGGAGGGACCGGCCTCTCCCCGCACGGTGTGCATGTGTGCGTGAAGGGGAGCCGAGCCCCTCGGGTCTTTCTCTGGCCCGCATTCCACGGCCCTCGTTACTTTATGGCCCCTTCCCGTCCAGAACCGGCCCCGCAGCCAAGCGCCGCAGGTCCCGTCCCAACACCACGGACACAAATATATCCACTCTGCCTCAAAACAAACAAAAAACATCTCTTTGAAAAACTAAAAACAAAAATGAGATTTTCTTTAATCTACTTAACAAAGCCTTTGATCTTTGGGAATGTGTTCTTGTTATTATTTTATTTAAAAATAGGCTCAAAACAAAATTTTAATTTAACGAATAGTCAGAATTATAATAGCATGATATTAAAGTGTTCTGCTGATTAAAACTAAACATATCTCATCTGTTCTCAGCAATAAAAACAGAATGTTTATTTTTAAAAACTTGCTGTAGTCAGCAACGTTTTAGTAGTGGCGTAATTAGTGGTCATGTTTACCATGACAACAGAGGGAAACCAGATGGTCACTGTAATTTTTAAATTGATGTAGATTTTAATTGAAAAGTCATAGTTTGGTCCTAATTTATTCTCAAATTGTAGTCGAGGGGGCCTCAAAAGTTATATAGGGAGCACAAATGGCCCCCGAACCTCGCTTTGAACACCCCTGATCTCGCTACAGCATCTCACTCGTAAAAGGAAATTAAACAAACTAAAACACTTTTGGAAAAGCTAAACGTTTATGAGCAGAAATTTAAAAGCAAGTGTTGATTTGCAACTGTAATAACTATAAATAATAATTATAACTGTTATATTTACTACTAATTATTATAATGCTGCTGTCTGACGTCTGTGTTCTTCTTCTGGGTGGATTTTGGTCCAAACTGGGTCATATCAACAGGACAATGTTTACAAATTCACAACAACAAATCAAGAAGTTTCAACGGCCCAGTCAAAGTCCAGACCTAACCAGGATTAAAAAAGCTCATGGACTTTGAAATCAAAGGATCTGCTAATTTTTAATGTATGAGTGTGAGTTTATTGCAAACTTTCTGCATAAAAGGTAAAAAAATTGAAGTGCTACCTCCCACCTGCAGGTGGCAGTATATGTTAGTACATGTATGTTGGTAAGAAAAACCGAGATATTTATGTTTTTAGAAAAAGCTCCTTCTAGTTCACCTCCAAACGCGGTCTGGGTTCGGTTGAAGTGAACTCTGGTTCAGTTGAATGCATATGTGAACATCAAGTGGACCAGAGATCGCTCCAAAAGCAGGAAGTGGACTACAGCGCAGGGCATTCTGGGTAAATTCAACCCAAAACATTCATGCTAGCCTAGCGCGAGCAGGAGAAATGGAGAAATTTAAGCCAAAGATAAAGATAAATCTTCCAACCACCAAAAGCTGACGCCTCCATTTTAGTCTCATTTGGTGAAGAAGGAAGTTGTGCTCAATGTCTTCTTCAGAGGATTCTATTATCTGTGATTCTTGGTGCAGCGCCCCCACAAGTGAGGAGGAAACTGGTTTCTCAAAGGGTTTGGTTGGTTTTTCACAGACAGTTTAACATATTGCAGTTCATCTGAAGGCAATGCAATGCTGGGTTCTGTAGATATCTTTCTATTCAGATCATTTTTATCCACAATGATGCCTGGATCTCCTGAATTAAACGTTTCTGCCTCTGTTTATTGGTTGAATTGGCAACTTGCAAGGAAATCACAGTATTTCTTTCTGTCTCCTCCCGTTTTCTTCCAGCCTCGATTGGCATCTCCCTGGAACATACCGTGATTTAAAAATATATATATAAAACGCGTTTTTCTTCATCTCAAACCCAAAACTTGTTTAATAACACCGGTTAATAACAGGAGCAACAGGAGGAAGTTCAGCCAGTAAAAAATCCCCACCGTCTGTACATGTTCAAATACCTGAGCATGTCCAAAACCAGGAAATAAGGAAGCAGAATAAACACTCTTAAAGAAATACAGCAGAAAAATCTGATGTTCTACTAAAAAACTGCCGCTGATGGGTATTAAAACAGATTTCAGGGCACAAAATGAAGAAGGAGTCAAATATCTGCAGCTCAGTCCTGGGTGAGCCGGCCATGCATGATGCGGTTGTACAACAGCACACTTTGAACGCAAAACAGCGGAGTTTTCCTGACACTAAACCCGCTAACAGCTGCGAAACACGCGAATAAACGTCTGGGGATAAGAAATGGAAATGCAAAACCTTCCAGAGCTGCTTCAGAGTTTTCCCAGATGATGTTTAAGGTCTTACCTGAGCGGACTCTGCAGCAGTTCTGGGTCTGATCTGCGCACATGGGGCAAAGTCGAGCGACCTGCCAACTTTACACGTGCACAGAGCAGGAATTACAGGGGAAACCAACCTGCGCGCAACACGCAGAAAACTGACGCTGCAGCTCCAGCAGATGAGTTAAAGTGTTACAAACACGACAGACACGGGTTTTACTTACATAACCATCCGCAGTTGTTGCGCGCATCCGCAGCTGAAACGTGTGCAGGAGGAAGATGTTGACCTGGTGAGCCGAACCGAGCCGAGGTGGATCTGGAGTCCCACACGGATGTCTGGCTGCCGCAGGCTTTTAAAGGTGGAAATGTCGCCTCCCACATGTCCCCAGTAGAGAAAAACACAACAACAAAAAAACATCATTCACGCAGATCTGCAGCTCTGGAAGCAACAGGTTTCAACCTAAATTTAAAAACACATTCAAACTCTTCAACTTTTTCAGATTTTGTCAGCAAAAACATTTATTTTATTTAAGTAAACAACCCAAAAGTGAAAGAAATCAATCAAACCAGTTTATTTTTATAGTGCATTTCAGCAGCATGGCAGGTCAGGTGCTTTACATCATAAAAACACAAAAATATAAAGTGATAGTAACACATTCAACAGCTGAAGAAAAATACATCTGTAAACTGCAAAAACACAAAATCTTTCTGAGAATTTTTGCCTAATTTATTACAGAAAAACATTTTATAGGCTAAATAACCTGCCAGGGAACTTTTAAGAATTTAAAATAAACTTTTCTTACTAGAAACTTAATTTAGTTTTGTATTTGGGCCATTGGAGATAAACAAGAGTTTGGGAGAAGATATTCAGAAATTGTAAGATTAATCTAATAAAATTTATCGAAAAATCTTTTTCTGAATTTAAAAAGTTGCTAAAATGTTTTCGAAAATGCAGCAGAAATTCCCCAGAAAAAACTTTGAAATTTCAGTTTGAAATGTTGAAAATTTGCTAGAAAAATGTCTAAATATTGAGATTAACCTCAGAATTTTTTTTTTTTACATATCTGAATCTCAAGATTTTGGAATGTTTTCTTGCAATTTTTGTTTAAACATTTCAAAAACTAAAAATTCTAAGATTTTTCTCCTGAAAGTGGCTAAGATTGATTTCAATGTTTTAGATTTTTTTTTGGAGGAAGTTTCCTCTTCTTTTTGTTTTTTTATTTGTTGTGTTTTTATCCACAATCATAAAATTCTTATAGGAAGATATTTTCCTCTTATAAATGAACATTATAGTATGTCAAATAGTTATGTCCTTAAAATAAGCTTTTATATCTTGGCGGAAAGTTACTTGTAACTTAATGTTGTTACTTTAAGTGTTTTTAATATTTCTTAGTTTCCTTATAATTACAGACTCATTTTTTTCATATATTTACTTTAAAACAAAACATTTAAGTAAAAATCTAATATTTCAGTATTTTAATCGATTTTCAGTCTGATTTATCCGTGTAAAACGTAGCTTTGCTGATTTTTCAGCTCCTTTTCCTTTCAGATGGTCAAACGCGTTCTGCGCATGCGCGTAACCCCGCGTGAACCCGGAAGTTCTCTCCTGGAATCAGCTGCGCAGCAGCAGCCAAAACAGCGAATCGAGTTTATTCAGGAATAAAGCAAGAAAACATGCAGCTTCACTTCGCTAAGGACGCGTTACCGGACTCTGTCGGTACCGACTTCCAGAACCTGAACAAATTTAACGAGCAGGTAAAAACAAGCGCTGTTTACCGAGGAATTTTAGCTAGTTTTCCTGTTTTCCGGCGAGATTATGGGGATCTATAAACATCTTAAATGCTCGTAGGAGTTTCATCAGCGCTTATAATTTTATATGTTTAATATTTGGATAACTAACCTTTAATAAAAGGTTTAAATGCATAAAAGAACAATTTTCGTGTCAATGAAATATTCAGCAGTTGTCATGTTTCTCATAAAATTTAATTCAAATGACCAGATCATATATGATGATCTCTGACCTTTGCCCTTTTAGAAAGTTTTTACAACTTTCTATCACATTTTTTCCTCATTGAACCATCACAGATGTGCAGTGCTCTTAAAAAACTGTTTACTCTCCAACAGATTTGTTATTTTTTTACTTATTAAAGGAAAACTCAATCCAAAGAAACACGACCCTTTTTGAAAATGTGTTGAATTAGCAAAGTTAAACTACTTTTTGTGTATAATTTCATCCAAAGATCTCGACAGTCAATATGTAGCTTGAACAGACCTGTTGGTAATATTTAAAACAGTTAGGGTGCAATTTTTACAGACACAAGGAATTTCAATAAAGATTAAAACAATTGAAGATTAAATTTATTTAGAAAATCAAAATGAAAAAGTGTCAAAAAAAGATTAGGCAGACGTAAAAGACTTATAACAAATATAATAATAAACATAATTAGACAAGAAATATTTATTTCTATAGCATTTTTTATTATTATTTCAAGTAAAATCAGATTTTTTTGGCTGAGATTTCAGATATATTTTTAAAATAAACTGTACTGTTTGTTTACGTCTGTAAGCTTAGAAACAACAGTTATGGTGTTTTATAACAACAAGCCATTTGAGAGTTTGAATATAGTTTGATCAAAAGTTTTTAAAAAGCCATAAAAATAATAGTGTTTATAATTTTTTACAATGCAAAATGATAATAATAATTAACAAAGTAAAAGTAAAAATGGACAAATAAAATTGTTTTTGCAGTCTTAACTATGAAAAACATTTAATATAAATATGATTATGAGACAGATTAGAGCTGTATTTAATACAGATATATATCTTGAACTACTAGTAGAATAAAAGCAGAACATTAGAGTAATTAAATATAAATAAGAGTGTTTAGGCCTGACGACGACATGCAGTAGCAACAAGAAACACAGACGGCGAGGAACGTTTAAATTACTCAAAGTAATGTGTTTTTTTAAATGTATTTTTTAAATATCTGCAGCAGTTTAGTCGACTGATTGAAATTCTGTTCCAGTTCCTCCTGGACCCGAAAGAGGTGAGTGGAAAAGAAATGAGACTCTGAGCTTTGATAAGTCAACTGCCGTAAAATGCTGCTTTTCCCTTTGTGTGTGTGTGTGTGTGTGTGTGTGTGTGTGTGTGTGTGTGTGTGGTGTGTGTGTGTGTGTGTGTGTGTGTGTGTGTGTGTGTGTGTGTGTGTGTGTGTTCAGAGACAGACAGATTCGTGCAGCAGCTGACAGAATTTGCAGGGGAACACGGGATGAGCGCCGGCCCGCTGAGGAACCTGATGAAGAGCATCCTGCTGGTTCCTCAAGGTGGGAAAAACTTAACAGGAAGCTATTTTGATAAATTATTTCCAGAGGGAAGAGATTTTACCCGACAACCCCTCCAAACAAGCTACGGTAGCGGTCAACAGTCTACAGAGGCTTTGTTTTTTGGGTTCTTTTCATCCTTTCAGGAGTGGTGTGGACACTTCTACGAAGCCACTAATGTCGGAGCAAATTTTTTCATTCGGACTTTTGCTAGTTTGAAAACATTTAGTGCACATAGCTTTCCCTAAATCAATTTTCCCATGTGAATACTAAAGCGCTAATTCACTTGGCTGGTTTGTGAGTAAAGTTGAAGTTTTGGTTATTGAATGTTAAGATTTTTCCAGTTAGTTAGATGTTTCTATTCATGCTTTTATCTTGAAGCTGTTAAAGTGACTCTGCTGTCTTCTCCTCAGGGGCTCTGAAGAAAAACCTGACGACTGAGCAAGTCAAGGAGGACCTGCTCACATTAGGTTCTAGTTTCAAACTCCAACTGACTTCATTTTAAATTAAATGTTAAATTATGTTTTCCCTGAACTAAAAAGGGTTTTTCTGTTTGTCCCTCAGGGCTAAATGAGGAGAAAGCTGCTCACTTTTCGTCACAGGTAAATACATTAACCCTTGAATTTGATGGATCCTGTAAGATTAGAGGCTCTGATGAAGTTCTGATTAGTTCATAAGATAATTACATTTTGATAACTTTCATTTGGGAGAACTAGCAGGCATTTTAGCATCATTTACTCACCAGATTAATATTTATATCAAATTCATTTAAAGAAAATCTGATGTGATGACTTCACCACAAAGGGTCTGATGGGTCAAATTCATTCTAGCTGGGAAACTTTCAAGTCCGAAACCAACAATTTCTGCACTGACTTTTGTGTTTTGCAGTCCAGAACTGTGGTTCTGATGGCAGAGCACCAATGACTAATTCATCTGCAAAATACAACGGAACATCAGGCACATTGTAGATAAAAATATGTATAAAAAACTAGAGTAAACGTCCGCTAGGAAACTCTGAAGTTCTAAGATTAATCTCAGACATTTTCTACCAACAACTTGAAAATTTCTGTTTGAAAATTCAAAGATTTGCTAGAATCAGACATTTTTAGATTCATCTAAAAAATGTTCTAGAAAATCAAGGAAATTTCTGAGTTTGAAAAGTCAAAATTTTGATTGAAAAACTTTTTTCTAGCAAATTCTTGACTTCTCAAACTCAAGCTTCCTTGTTACTTCTACAAAATGTATACAATTGTTAGGCAGAAATCTACTATTTTTTATGGTGTTCCAAAGCCCTTCAACAACCTGGAAAGTGAAAATTTATTATGATGTTTTTGAAAGTTTTTTTCTTTTTACACTCAAACTAATGAGCTAGCTTTGTTTTAGCATTGTTAGCATGTGTGAAGGTGTGAATATGAGCATCTGAAAATAATTTATCAGTCAAATCAAACAGTCTGAGTATTTAAAATCACATTTTACTAATGCTAATGCAGATAATCCTAGCCAGATCAGCTAATGTGGCTGATGCTAACTGTATCACAGTGTTGAGGTTTGCTGAAGGTGGCCATCTTGTCCCTCTGTGTGCTGCAGTGGGGGCAGCATTATGCTGCGCTGTCCAGGCTGGCGGTGGGACAGACGCTGATGGTCAACCAGCTGGTCGACATGGAGTGGAAGTTTGGAGGTGAAACGACTCAAATTGTCGCGAAACGATCGCAGGGGAAAATATTCACCAGGACAAATTTGGTTGCTGCAGAACATCAACTTTGGCTCCTGTTAGAAGGATCATGGCCGCCAAATGCTCAAGTATTTTATGACCTTCAGATAAAAACAAAATGGTGAAATAATAAAAAGTGTTTGCAGAGTTTCTGCACAGCCTGGAAAATCTAGATTTTCCAGGATTGTAGGGATATGAGAAGAGAAATAAAGGATGAGAAATGACTGAGTAGAGAAATAACTGAGTTATTTCTCATCCTAACTTCAAAGTTTTCTACTGTTGTATTTCGTTCATTCATTCATTC